CAAAAAGAACTTTTTTTTTTTTTAAGTGACCTCTTCACTTAAACAGGGCAATGCTTAACTGAGATGACAAGCTATCCACCAGGTTGTCCCTAATAAGATGACTGCAGTATTATGGTCCCCATCTTACTAATGGCACACAGAGGGTAAATGACTACCCCAAGGCCACATAGTGAGAGTATTAGGCTGTAGGATTCCCAACTCCGTGCTCAGATCTCTAGATTATCTAGATAACTAGATCACTAGATCACTCTGCCTTTGAGAAAGAAGAGACCTTCCCATACTGCAAAGAAGCAAACACTGGATATGCTATAGAGATGTAAACACCATCATGAGGGCTCTTTATGGGCACCTGAATTGCTTCTGAAATCAGTGTTTCACTGCGGCACCAAGCTCCCCAGCTGTAAGTCTGGGGCTGGTGGTGGGCTGGCACCAGCGCGTTGGGTAAATGGTCACTTATCAGGGTTGATGTTTGGTATGAGCTAACACAATCTTTTTTCTAACATCTGTTCATGTGATTGCCTTATATCTGGAAGGCCAGTGTTGAATTAATCCTCAATGCATGCAGCAGAACTCCTCACAACAAAGTGCTTGGGTGATTTATGGGTTTTCACCYCCACTTTGACTCTAGCATCCAAGTCATCTCATTCCTTCCAGTTGTAAGTGCTGGCTTAGATAAAACTCAAACACCTCTCCCTCAAGCCAGTGGGGCTGGTATGTAAGGTTGACCAGYGCTCCCTTGGGAACATTATCTCAGATGCTAAAATAACCCTAGATTCAGGTGTCCTGCAGCCAGGACAACCCGTTCTGACAACTCATCACTTCCATCACTCTATTTCCCTGACAAGCTTGAGAGCTTGTGCATTGCCCCAGTAACCAAGGCACTCACTGGATTAGATCTTTTATTATCTTTACCCTCTGTTATTTCCACTAACTTTTATTTTTTCATTGAGCAGCAGATGAAGATGAAGATAAAGATGATGACTTCCGAGCTCCGCTCTACAAGAACGTGGAGATTAAGGGAATCCAAGTACGGATGAAGTGGTGTGCCACCTGCCACTTCTATCGTCCCCCACGCTGCTCTCATTGCAGTGTCTGTGACAACTGTGTTGAGGTAACACTCCTGTCAAGTACGTGATCTGATGGCTTTTTCTTAGTGATGGGGTTGTACATGCTATTGGATACATGCAGTTAGATGGTTGTCTCAGTATTTTAATTCTTGAAAGTCCCCAGCGTTAACCTCAATGATGGTTTCTGACTATTATGTATCACTTCAAATGTTAGTCCTTCATGTGATGTATGTTGCATGTGCAATAATGTTTAGTGCTAACTTTGTTGCCAATGATAATTAAGTTAAAATTTTACAATGCTGGTTATATCTTCCTCAARGTAGCTTTTTTACTCAACTGCTGCTAATTGTGAAACAGGACAGGATTTTCCATAGAGAACCTAAATGATTTATTCCCAATTTTAAAGCAAATGTTTTCACTAATTCATAGCTTCAAAGATTGTTTAGATGATGGTAAATTCTCAGTTGTCCCATGAAATTGCTTCTTTCTGCCCTTCCCAGAGGCTTGATRTGAAAACCAGTTCTCAACAACTGAAGTTTTGCTTCAAAAAGATTGCCCAAAACTCACTAGTGTAAACACTTGCAATTTCATGCAGCCACTAGGCCTCTAGAGGAAGCAGTTTTGTGCAACAGAAAGGAAAATGGGAGAGAATCCAAGAGTAACCTAAATAAATTAGCAGCACACAAGGTGACTCTGCTTGGCTTTTGAGAAGCTATGTGGATGGTCAGATCAGTTGCATGTTCCTTACTATTCTAGTGGGCAAGAAAGAAGCTGTCATTGTATAATTAAATTATGAATGCTGGGGAGGAGTTTAGGCAAAAAACATTAATGACTTCTGAATCGATATATCATGGTCTTAAAAAGTGTATTTTATTGATTCCTGTGATGCTTATTTCTCACTGCACCAGCAGTGCTTCGAGAGAGCGTTAGGAGAAACTCCACTGGTATTTCCATGTAGGGCCCAATTAGGTTTGTACTTGGCATATTTTCAGTTTGGGGCTAATGAGTGTGATAAAAGTTCTCAGCCCAAATAAAACTGAGCTAATTTGATAAAAATAAGCAAATAAAGAAGAAAAAAACCTTTACACTTGCAGAAATAAAAGCAGTCAAAACCTAAAGCATACTGTGACCAGCTGGACCAAAATATGAATACATGAGAAAAATAGTCAGATCTTTATTTGCTTCATTGAAGTGTGCACAGTGGGTATTTATATAGTTCCAAAATCTGTGGATTATTTTGGAACTGCATACACCTAGATTTGCATTGTAGGCTTGTGCTCTGTCAGCATTTCAGACACAGCCTGAAATGATCTTTATTAAATTGCTTCTGTCATTTTCTAATGTTCTTTGTGAAAGCTCTAATCCATTTCTTCTCTTTTGTAATTTTTCAGTCAAGATGTTGCTCAAAACTTATTAGTATGAAAACCCCATTGTCATTGCTGGGGGATGTTTAAAGATAATATTACCATAAAACAAAGAATAAACCACTAATTGATTGATGCAATGGGAGTGTAATATCTGCTCTGAATAACACAGGAATGGGAAGAGTTTATTTCTAAGTGTCTGATCTTGTTTTGACTTATGCACATCAAGAATAATCCCACTGAAGCCAGAGGATTTGCATGCTTATAAATCTGTGTAAAGGCACTTTAATAGTGTCTACAGCTTGCCCTCGTTATAAGCCTTTTGCTAAAAGGGATCCAGCTTTATGAGATACTTTGAACTCTTGACTGAAATGACTAGTTAGTTTTTGTTTCATAACTAATGTATTTTTCCAGAATTTGGTCTGTGTCTTAGCTAGATGTTCATTGAGGACTTGCTTGGTAAAAAAAATATTTTTTGTGAGGCCCATGAATTACAGTGAACAAGCTCTGGATTCATTGAGTTACATATTAATACAGAAATATGGGAGGAGAATTATTTGGCTAGCAGCAGTTTTGCATTCTCAAAATATTACAGGCTATAATAACTTCATTGTAACTGACTCCTCATGCCAAGGATGAAAAAAAATTAGTGCTTCTGCTGTCAAGAGACGTATAGTCTGTCTTTTTTTATGTATAGGCATAGACACCACTGGGTCCCAAGAAGAGCCTTATAAAGAGGGTGTAGCCTGTTGTAATCACAGAGCTATCCTGGTGTGATTTTAGTTGATGGTGGTTCGGACTGATCTCTAAGACGATGTATTTCCTTTCACCAGTTGGATATCATTCCCTGTCTCTTCCTTTCTTTACAAGGATTTTGACCATCACTGCCCATGGGTCAACAATTGCATAGGACGGAGGAACTACCGCTACTTTTTTCTCTTCTTGCTGTCCCTAAGTACACACATGGTTGGAGTATTCACCTTTGGGCTGATCTTTGTATTAAACCATATGGAAAAGCTGGGGGCAGCTCATACCACCATTACGTATCCTTCTTTTTGGTCTTTCAAGAGTTAAGGTGGACTTAAGGAAAATGTGAAAGAATGAATGTAAAGATTGGTCTTCCTGGAAGCGATAGASATCTACTCCTCTCCTGATCCCCTTTTCCTTTTAGTGCAGATCTTCTTCTGTACCCTTCTGACCTTTACAGGCAGCACTTACCCCCAATACTGTGGTTGACTTTCTGTGCTTCTCAGTCATTGCCACAGTGAACCAGCAGAAAGAGATATGCTGCATTCCTGAATTTTATTTCCAACTGGATATGACTCTACACAGCTGGGTACTATTTGCTCTATTTAAAACATGATACAGTAGATTTTGCCCTAGAGGCAGTCCCTCTGCATACAAGCATAATACATCTACTAATATATATGCTAATTAACATATGTTTTTGTTGAATGTTTTGGGATTAGAAATGTCTATATAATAGTTTTGTAGGATTGTAGAAAAAATATATCTCTTAATATTATTTTCTTGCAAATGTTCACCAGAGCTTAAAGATATTTAATGCTGAAGAGTGATTGAGAGGGGATAGAGGATGGATGGAAATTACAAAGTTTTGGTTGACCCGCACAGATGGTCTTGAGGGCAGATGGGATATAGAGGGTTAACAGGGAAGTTAAGGAACCCTCTATATCCTGACAGATTCACCCCACTGAAAAGCAGGCTGTCAGTCCTTAGTAGACACTTACTTTCAAGGAGAAAAGGAAAAACTTGATATAAAGCATTTTACTGCTATTTGACGCTGACATTAGCTCCCTGGTTTTGAGAGATTCTTCTCCCACTGATAGGTTAGAGCCCAAGAGTCTTTAGAGATGGTCATGGCCAGAATCAATGAGCTTATGTTTTATTTTTAAACCATCTCAGGGAGAAGGAGCCAGGCTAGGAGCAGAAATAAAGCAATGTATTTGCTTGGCRTACTGGTCGATGGGAGCTATAAAATGAAGATGCAAGGAGGTCTTTGCTCCGCCAACCTGGTGGTTTTGAGACCCATCCGTCACTGTCTGACTGCATATTTTTAAACTAGAGAGAACAGATGATATGATTAGATACTACAGACCAGAAAAGGCTTAAAATAAGATGATTATTGAAGAGAAGAAGGATGGGAAACTTCCAGCTTTCAAATACTCATTACAAAATTATATGCTGAAGAGAGAAGAGTGGGATTTGCTGCTGGTCTGAAAGGATTCCCATACCATATCTGAAGTTTAATTCCAAAGTAGACTTAACTTTGAGGTGAAATTTAAATAGCCTCATTAAAGGTACAGAATATTCTCCCTGTTTTCAAGATTGTTTTTCTCCTTCTCCCCTCTCTTTTCTTCACACCCKCATTTTCCCTTCACCTATTCCAGTTTCTTTAACTCCTGAATACAGAATGGCTGTCATGTGTGTGGCTGGGTTGTTCTTTATCCCAGTCATCGGTCTCACTGGTTTCCACATTGTCCTCGTGGCCCGAGGACGCACAACCAATGAACAGGTAAGACCTAATTCTTTCTCTGTTCTTGTCCTAAGGTGTGGAATGGGGAAGGAAATAAAGAGAAAATTCACACAGGTCAGTTCAGATAAAGCTAAAACTGACCCAAACCGTAGCAGTAACACACTTACTAGGGCTTTTGTCAGGATTGAGGAAGATTGCCAATTCTTTCCCCACATTTTTGCCGTGGGTACACTGTGCACAATGATTGCTCCTAATCACAAAAGATCAGCACAAGCGTATTTACTACTTTAAAATCAACTCAGAGCCTTGTAATAGGTTTTATGTGTTGAGTACTGTCAACCCAGAAGTTCAAGCTTCATGAGTCAGAGGGAAGGAATCATGAGACAGAAAGGAAAAGATGAAATCATGCTTTTGTTCATGCTTTTGTTCATGCTTTTGTCCTGCCTCCTGGTACACTGAGCACCCCCCGGCAGCCGCTGCTGCCCACAGCGTGGGGTGAGCTGCCTCAGAGGCCATCGCTAAACAAGGGGCCAGCACCACGTGCTGAGCCAAAAAACAGTGAAATTCCTCATTTCCTAGTGGCTAATCCCATGTGTATAACCCTGGGGAGAGGAAGAGCCATATGCACGTGCACATCCCAGAGCGGGTGCCGCAGATTCAGCCCTGCACGGCCGGTCCGCTCGTGCCGGTCGCCTGGGGCGGCTGGCTCAGGAACCTGGCAGGTCAGCCCCGTGTCTCCAGCTTTTTCCCAGCCCCGTGTCTCCAGCTTTTTCCTAGCCCCGTGTCTCCAGCTTTCTTCCCAAGGCTAACTCACAGTGCACGTGCCCATGTGCTGCTCTTGCACAGCTCTGCTCGCAAGCCCACCTTCCCTCACACCACACGTCCTCACCCTTCTGGCATCCGTGGGCTCAGTGCTGTGTTGCACCCTGATGGCTTCGTGCGTGTTTTGGGTTGTATTGCTGCTGTGCAGGCGAAGGTGAAGACACCTGTGTGAGGCCAGGCCTGTGGGGACTAGGAYGAGATGGTGTGTCCTATCCGACAGGAGAGCAAAAAACCCTTTATCTGTGAGTAGTGTGAGGGGTGAAGACGAGACGTGAATCTGAAACCATCCATAATCGATGCCTGACATGGCTTGGATAAAAGCAGGCTTGCTGTCACAGTAAATTCCTACATGGTTTTTTTTCTGCCTATCTCAGTCCTGCTCAGAATCAGCTGCTCTTCACTTTTTTGAACTGATTTTATTAGGCTCAATATTGCTTATAATAGTAGTGTGAAACCCAGGGCGTTTTGGCCTGGAGATGGTGTTCTCCTCTGAATTTGTTTGTAGAAACAAGGAAAATTGTCAATGAGCAGTTTAGCTAGAGGAGGAAAGAGAGAGGGSAAAAATAGTAAAGTAAAATCTAACTTCTTGTATTTGCAGATACACTAAAATTTGGATATGTTGAGAATTTTGCATTTAAGAAGATAGAAATAACTATTAGAAACGGCACCCTGGTTTGGTTTGTTTTGCTGAGCTGCCAGACCCCTTGAGATTAACCTATCTTCCTGGGGTCTTTGCCAAAAATTAAATAAAATCTTCATGGCTGTTGGGTCATATACAGTGTCTAGCAGAGGAAGGATGTTCCAAACCATCATGTCCCTTTTAGAGGAAGCACATTTAAATAATTAGAGCCCTAGACCGAGCATGATGGATATGAGATGTACTGCTGGCTTTGCTACTGTTTTAAAACATTCCTTTTTTTTTTTTTTTTCCTGCAGTCTCAGTATTGATTCTCCTTTCTCACACTGTTAGTTATCTGCTCTCAGCTCTCCACTTACAGAATGTCCAGCTACACTCATACTTTTTCCCTATTACATTTTATAGGCCAGTGCTGTAGCTATTTGTGGTGTTTTGCTGTGAATTCTTGGTATTTGTTCATTCCAGAGATTGCAGGTTTTGAGCATTCATACCAGACAAACTGTTATTTAGGAGCTTATAGTGACTGAGGTTATATGTTTGTGAGCTTCTGAATGCCTCTGAAAGCCATTTATGGAATCAAAATAACCCAACATCTGATCATATCATGGTATTTTTAGTTTCTGAATAGAGCAAACAAAAATCTTTCCTTTTGAGACAGCTTTCTATCAGTGAATGTCAAAGTATTTTAGAAACCAAATGGGTGTAACTGGTGATGCAATCTAATAGATGGAGAAATTTTATCTTCACATTGTGTGTGAGAACATGGACAGAGAGATGTGAAGTGTTTTACCAGCATCTGACAGCAGGTCAGCTGGAGCCAGGAATGACTGCAGATGTGCCAAGTGTCCCAGGCCTATGTTCTAGTCATCAAATTACTCTTCCAACATACAAAACTTCCAGCATTTCAATACATTATATTAAAGAGGCCAGCAAAAATATATTGCAAAATCATTTAATCATTGCAATTTTATGTGCAGGTAATTAAAGTGTTTCTGGTGCTCTGTAAATGTGGTGTTAGGTCAGGCCTATGACTTGATTAAAATGCATTACTTGCAAACTGCAACAGTAATGCTTTTAACGGCAACCGCTATTAATCTCTCCGCCTTTRTTGGTGTTTATCCCCATGCAGTTATTTTCAAGTATTTTCTGGGCTGCCTGCAGAGTGCAAACCCTTTATAGAGCTAATGCAGCTCATCATGGATCCCATCAGTCTCATTTTCTCGGAGCAGTTCATTTCCAAGCAAGCACCATAACCCTGGGGGAGCTCCTGGCTCCCTCCCATGCAAAGCAACTGTTGATCCTGGAGATGGGATGCGTTTAGGGGACGCACAGCCCTCGTCCAAGGCTAGGAGTGTGGAATCGACATCCCTATTGTTTTGGAGGCAACTTGCTGGGGGAGAGGAGGAAAGAGGAGAGGACCAAAGGCGATGGGGAAAGCCTAGAGCCAAATATCCCTCCTAGCTGGCGAGTTTCGGAGCGCGGCGGCCTTGCTGGCCCTGCGAGGGCTGGGGGTGTTTCTGCAGGCGAAGGTTGGAGCTCTGCCCTGAATTATCGTTCCAGGTGACGGGCAAATTCCGAGGGGGAGTGAACCCCTTCACCCGTGGCTGCTGCGGAAACGTGGAGCACGTGCTCTGCAGCCCCCTGGCCCCCAGGTAAGCAGGAGGCTCCACGATGGGGACAGGGGAGGTGGCGGGATGAGGGCAACGGTGCTTGGTTGGGATCACAAGCCAAAGGCTGATGTGCTGCGGGCTGATGTTCAGTCAGACCCTCAGACAGAGCCAGAAACAGGGAGCAAAGCAGGACTCTCAGGCGGGCCGAGCACGGATGTTAATTCAGAATCTTCACCCCAGAGACATATATATACAATGAGCAAATGATCTCAAGAGACAATGACCCTTTTTTGCCAAGATGCTTATCCTGTGAAACTCAGTAACGGGGTAAATTCCATTATTATCAACTTCCTGATACAACTTCTTGCACTGCACAGTCCAAACCCAGGATTGTCATCTGCTGGGAAGAGCGAAAGCATCTAAAATCAGCCTTTCCCCTTTAGTCTTAAATCTAATTTAAGGCGGCTGCGGTTTTTAATCTCACTGACACTTCCATTATCATAAAACAGATTTCCTACCAGGTCTACATCACTGAATGTGGGATTTTATTTATGGCTTTCTATTTTGGGGGAAATAGATTTATTCTTTCACATTTTGAAACTAGAATTTTAAGGCAATAGATCAGGTGGAGTATAAATATCTTAGATGAGGAGTTGTCCAGCTTACATACAGGCCTTTTTGAGGTGCTGAGCAATTCCAGCCCTCAACACTATTATCTGAAATATTGTGAGTTTTTTTAATATTTATTTTTGGCATTGCAACAAATAAGTCTTGGAAGACTTATTGGTATTAAAGTGCAGACACAGGAATAGTGCCTATCTGTGACCTGGACCTCTTGTCCATCTTCAACAATCACCTGTGTTTTTTATTGCATCCCTTCTTCTTCACTAAAATTCATCTTCTTTTTGTTGCTTTCTTGAACTGACATCTATTGAAATAAATGTAGTTTACCTACTAGATTCTGCCACGTTCTGAAGTCTTATCTTGGAAGCAGGATTTTCCTGTTTCTGTCTTGTTCTTAGGTCGTTCTTTCTTTTAATGATGGCTGTTGAATACTTAATTAGGTACGTAGTTGAGCCCAAGAAAAAGCAAGCTGTGAGCGTGAAGCCTCCTTTCCTCCGACCGGACCTATCTGAGCGGCAGATCACCGTGAAGATCAGTGACAACGGGATCCAGGCCAACCTCAATCGCAGCAAGGTAACATGACCTCCATACTCAGTCCTTTCGAGGACTGAGCTTTGAATTGTTACCAAGCCTGGAAATACCAAGCCTGGAAATAACTTTTTGTCATTGAAATTCCCTTGAGATAATGCATCTCTTGGAGAAAATCGTGAAAATTGAGTCYGTTTCTCACATGTCATCCTCTGAGCGTAACCCAGGATTGGTAGCAGCAGCTGTTGGTGTTGCAGAGCTCCTCTTGCAGCTCTATAATAGAACATCTTCTGGCATCTTTTGGAAGATGCTGGTATTCGGTTAGGAGTTTTCAAACTTCAGGAAAGCCTGTGGTGCAATGAAAAAAATATAATCCCAGAAGTTGAGTTTTGCTCCTTCCTCTCGTTTTTTGTTTGTTTGTTTGCTTTGTTTTGTTTTCTGAGTAAGACATATAAGGATTTGGTTTATCATATAAAAAGCAGTGGATTCATGAGAAGCAACCATGCAAAGTATTTACAGGAGACTTTTTCAATATTTACTTGTTGAGAACTACCTAGAAAATTGCTGGAAAATGCTAGAAAACACCATTGTCTTATCTAGTGTGACGCTAATATTGTTCAACAGGCCAAGTAAACAAGAATAGTGGGTTTAAAATTATAYTGGCTTGCTATGGTAAACCTAATTTTATACATGATAGCCCTTATCTGCAGTGGATGCTGCAGCATGTTTGTCATCCCAGGTGTAGGTTATTCTTGTTCATCAGCATCCTCAATGCTGTGACAGGTTGTTATCTAAAGGGCTGTGATTAACGATTGATTCTCTGCTCGTTTTCAGTCTAAAATTAGCCTGGAGGGTCTGGACGATAAAAGTCTGGACATGCAGCCGCCTCTCCCACCCAAAGGAGATCCAAGCAAGTACTCTGAGCTAACAGGGCAGCTGGGGGCCAGTGAAGGTACTGTTTCATGATCAGTGTTTATTTTTAACATTAAGAAATTATTTCAGCTTCTTTAATAAGCTCTCAGTATTCTTTCAAAATAGTAATGGGATCTGGGTGAAGGGCTTTGTATTTGAGAGGGTTCTGACCTAGGGAAATGAATAGCAGGAAAGGGAGAGAAAAATCAACTTTTAAAACTCTTTTTAAAATTTTTGTAAGTTTTAAAATGGAAAGTGTCAGTTTGGAAATCAGGAATATTGGAATGAAATGTTTAGGCATTTCAAACTGAATTATTTCATTCATGAAAAAGCTGAAATTAAAGCTTTGATGCTATCTTTTTTAATCTCTCTCTTTTTTTTTTTCTGTCCAGAGCAGCTGAATTCAACATGACTTCCCCATAATTTCAATTTTTGGCAAAAATACTACTCATCAAAATATATCTCCCCACTTAATATATTGTACCTTGTTTCTTATGTTCTTCAGATTACTGCTCTGACTTTATGCACAGTTATTCCCGTGTGGCGTCCTGTTGATTTGGGTAGAATTTTGCACAAAAATAATACAAATTTTAATCTTTCTGGAACACAGCTTAGTTTGCAGAGGACCTTGGATAAGAGGGAATTAGGCACAACAGCCTCTCCACACATTTTTAATGCAACCTTCTTTTTTATTTCTTCCAGAAAGTGGCCTTTCACCTAAACTTATCAGCCCTCCTACACCTGCCATGTACAAATACCGACCGGCTTTCAGCAACAACCCCAAAGTCCACTATCATGCTGCACCTGAGCAGGTGAGCAAGCCACAGGAGCATGGGAAAACCTGATTTTTAATGCTAAGCAACTTCAGACTGAGGGTAAATTCACCTCCAGGCTCTTGGGAATGTCAGAGTGCAAAAGCGAACATCACTGCTCAGCTTGGATAGGAAATAATGTGGATTTTCACTGTGTTCCGTGTAAAAACATCTCTGCTTTCTTGGTGTTCCTCTGTGCAGCATAATACGTCTGTCTGGCCGTGCACRAGCGCGCACTGATGCTTTACTAGGGTCAGGACTTGATCCTAAGGTGCTGAGAGGTGTCAGGTCCCATTGGATTCTCCTGACATGGATGCCAGCTCCCATTTGCTTCAGTGGGAGCCGCGCACGCTGAAYGCTTTTCTGCATCAGCCCTTCAGGCAAGGGACAATGTGCTCAGTGATTCCTTAACATGTCAGCTTGCAAAACAGAAARAGCTTTTAAAGCATCACAAGAGATATTTTAGCTAAACTTAAAATTCATGGAAAATTCTGTGTGTGACCTGCCGTAGCAGCTTCCTAGAGCATCTAGGTAACATTTWTAAAACAAAACCCCCAAAACAACACTTGGCATTTCTTCCCATCAAAAACCTGAGATCCAAACAATTAAAAGGAGACTTTCTCTTGGCAGGAATGTTCCCTGTGTTCTCTTAGCTTGGAAGTTTCGAAACTGCTTATACTGTATCCTTTGGAAGCACAGTGCAAAACTAAGCCTGCTGAAAATAAACCTGTTTTCTCACTTTTTTTTAATTATCATGAACATTATCATGTTGCAAATGGCCCTCAGAGACCTGAAAACAGCAGTTTGAAAATTGCTAATCTAACTGATATATTGGCAATATGTATGGAAATCTTTATATGTCCATGGCGATAGMCCTAAACATACAGTTTTCTTAAGATTAATTTTGTCAGCTTCTCCAACGTCATTAGTGCAATAACAAGCCAGGAGGTGATGTAATTAAGGAAAGGAAAAAGTGGGAGGGATATATAATTGAGTGTTTCTAAGCAGCAACACTGCAATGAGACAGAATGTTCTTTAAATGACGAGGAAAACTTTGCTAGTGCCCTTCTCACTTTGAAAACACAGGCGGTTGTAGGCAGTGGAATCCCATCCAGCACCAAGTCCAGGGCTTAATATGATTGCAATAAGTGCTTGTAAATCTTACTCTCTGCATCTGAGCAGTGAATGAAGAAAAGATTGGCTTATGAAAGGGAACGTGAGAACAAYGGTGTTTATTGTATGCCAGAAGTTCAATATCCTATCATCTTCACCACGTGACAAATGGCTTGCCAGCCAATTCAAGATATTGTATTTGCAGGTACCAGCCATTGCTTAACTTGTAATTTTGTGCAAGCAGCGCTGTGCACCGTAGATAATATTCTGTGTCATGATACAGTATAGCTGTGGAAGGCATCTTCATTCAGTATATCTTCGTTCAGCACCTAGCTCTTGATGCAATATAGATAGAGGACAGACTCCAATGTGGGCAGGTGATGGAGCAGCGCTGTGCATTGGGAATGGGGTTGGTGTCTCTCTGTCTACAGGTAGCTCCTCCAAACCCATCCCGGGACCATGGTGCTTCCTTAGGCTGGTCAGGGTGCATATGMTGAGCTCTTCCAACACGTTCCCCTTCCTAGTAGTCAAGTGGGAACATTGCAAAAATGAGTTCACTTCGCAAGATGAGAATTGCATTTATTTGCTTGCCAAACCATATCTAAGTAGAGGGCACGAAGGGACAGGGAGTAGCTGATGTGAGGAGTATCATGTTTCCCTTCTGTATCAGCTCCTCAGCCTGTCAACCAAGCTCTGCTTCTGGGCTGTAAAAGCTGTAAGGAAAGGGAGAGCAGAGYACAAGGATGCACAGCCCAAATATACTTCCAGGCGACATCATTTCTCTCTCCTCCTCCTTCACAGGCTGTCACTTGGTCTCCTTTTTTTCTGGAGAAGGACAAATTTAGCATCATACTCTTCAAGATAGTGTGCTGGTTTGCACACTTCTCTATTTTCTAGCTCAAACACAAAAATTTGAAGAAAAGGCTAGAATAAAATATATTTTTGCTAGTTACACTTTTGTTCATAATTTGCCTCTTAAAGGAAATTGGATGAGGGACAAACTGCCCTGATTGTGTTTCTGGTTAAATGTGGCTTCTGGCATAGGTAGCCTCCGTGCTTTAATTAAGCTTAGATGCTTAATTTTGAAGACTTAGAGCCTTCAATTCAGAAGTAGCAAATAGTCATAGCTCTGGCTGAAGTGGATAAGAGTGTCTCCAGTGTGTTGAGCTGAAGCTTAAGGTATGTCTGACTCAGCACTCAAAACCAAATATCCCTCAAATCAAGAGCTCTTTGCAGAAAACCTCAAGCAAAGTGCTTTCCAAGGGCAGTGCTATCAGATTACAATCTGATTTACCTTGACAGTGTTACAGTTTTGAAGGTACTCTGGCGTTCTGTGTTTTCAGTGTTCAATGTATTGACATATTTAATATTCTCCATGTTACTTAGCTCTTAACACAAATGATTTCTTCTTGCTTCCAGGGTTCTTACCCATGGGCTGTTTTCTCCCCATGGAGAGCAAACCCATGCATATATTACAGAGTTTTGTTTTTCTTGTGTTCACCTGTGTTTCAGATCTCCATGCAGGAGGGACACAGCCAAGGAGCTCTGATAGAAGAGGATGACAGGAGCCTGGATTACCAGTCTGAACCGAGCCTGGACATCCCCAGCTACCGGAAGAGCTCTCTGCACAAGACCTATCAGTCTTCCCCACTCCAGATAGATTCCTATGCCATCAATTCCCGATCCCTGAGCCTCAAATCTGCCGGCAGGAGAGGGACGGACAAAGTGCCCCTTCATCCAATAAAGTCTGAAGGGGCAGCTTCCACCCCATACAAAAGCATCTTTTCCCCCAATTCCCTGTCGAACAGAAATGGGAGCCTGTCTTACGACAGCTTGCTAAACCCCATGTCGCCCTCGGGGAGGAAGTGCGTGGCCCACGCCGCAGTGGGCTCCGTSGGGTACCACTCTCCGTACTTATCCGCCAAAATGTGCCACCTGCGGGGCAGCGAGCTGCAGCGCCCGCCCCCRCAGAGCTTCAGCCCGGTGCTGGGCGGCCCAGCTCCGCACCAGCGTGACCCCTCTCCAGTGCGCTACGACAACCTTTCAAAGACCATTATGGCATCCATCCAGGAGAGGAAGGAGATGGAAGAGAGGGAGAAGCTCCTCCACTCGCACCCCGATTCGGTGTTTGCAGACTCGGGTGTCTACGACACCCCTAGCTCCTACAGCCTTCAGCAAGTGAGCACGCTGTCCGAAGACCCCCGCAGCATGGCGATGAGATATGGATCTAGGGACAATCTGATGGCTGCTGCCAGTTTTAGCACAAGGAACCCTATGCTGCAGTCCTCAGTGTCTTCACTCTCCAGTGCAATGTCAAGAGCACCAAGGACTTCCACAACCTCTCTGCAAGCTGATTTAGCCAATAACAATGTCCAGTCCCATCAAGCACTACAGGGCAGGGTGAGCAACGGCTCCTACAAATCGCCGGGCCACCAGGTCCCATCGTCCCCCACTGGGATGCCTAGGTCCCCCTCTTATGGAGGCCCCAAGGCTGTCTCGTTTGTAAACACTGTGGAAGTCACAGAGGTGCAGTCGGTGGGAGCACAAAGGTAGGTGTTGCTTTACAAGCCTCGTCACGATGAGTGCCTGCCCGTTAATGGGCAGCAGCTGTTCATGAGCAGGACCAAGGGGATCTGTCTGCTCTAGGCCAGTGAGGGTAGACGTTTGCACATCAAGTCTCTGGAGAATCTCAGAGTAACCTCAGCATGACTAAATTTTGCAGTGATCAATCAAGGTGGAAAATTAAAGAGTGCTTTAATGCCTTAACTGGATGATTATTTGCAAGGCAGCAGCCAGATTGCCTCCCTGTTGTGCACAAAAGGATGTCTTGCCCTTGTTGCTTGCAGAGCCAAGGGAGGCTGAATCCAGCTGTTGGGTAAACAGAGAGGCACAGTGGTGGTCATCGTACATGCCACCCTAGCTGGCACAAGGGGCCACAGGGCCAGTGCACTCCTGGGAATTGTGCTTGGCACAGAGCTCTATATTTATCTGTATTGAGTGTCCCATAACACCAAAACGGTGCAAGAAGCACAGGCCGTCCCTTAAGGCCTTGCTGTCTACTTCCTTTCAGCATGAAAGGGGAGATGGAGAGGAGAGGGTTTGCTGTACTGAGAACCTGAATAGTGGTGTTGGAACAGGATCCTCAACTGTAGCTTCTGTATGCACTCATCTGGCTTGTCCTTTTGGAGAACATGGACTTGACATGGAAAAGTTGGAAAAGAGCCAAGTGATCCCAAAGTTTTCAGTGAATTGCAGTTGTTAAAATGATTCTTCTACTGGTGGAATTGCTAATGTTAAACAGACATCCCATTCCCATCTTTGAACCTATTAAACTCATGAGCTGGTTTCAGCAAAATAAGGCCTGTGGGTTCTCTGTTGCCCTGTTGAGCCCTGGATGTGCCCGATCCTGCGGTAGGACAGAAAGTTTCTAATGTGCAAAGTTGTCTCTCTCCTCTTATTCTCTGTTTCTTGCTTATGCCGTTGGCTTGTTGGTCCCACTGCTTTTACAGAGGTGTATGTTTAAGAAGTAGGGCCTATAAATACACCCCGGTTCAGGATTCTGAAGTGCCAAAAAGTAATAAGTTTCACAAAAATGGTGAAGCTGTTAAAATACGCATAGTCCCTATTTGATGTTAAAGAAAGTTGCAGACATTAGTCTGCATTAGCTGAACAAGGTCTTCGCTGAAGTTCCTGAAGTCAAGACTTGAGGACAATTTCAGCATTGACTTAGGGCTTTTGTAGCTCTTCGGTGAGGCACATGAATGGTGTGGGACAGTTTTCTGTGCACCCTGGCAGTAGGGGAGAGGAAAGAAGAGAATTCCAGGAGTCCTTCTGGAGGACGGGCTACAGTTTGGGCATCCTGGAGGGCTTCCTGCCTCAGATCACTTTGGGTCTGCTGTTGTGGCATCTTAGGCTTCATCTCTTGTGTCTTTTGGGGATGAGCAACACAATTATGGTTAAATGAATATTTAGATGGATTTTTTTTATGAATATTTTATTTCTTGTTAGTAAAAYATGGTTTGGATTAAGTTGGTAGTGGAGATAAGTAATCCCTCCTGCCTCCCCCAGCTCCTAATGAAGTTACTTYGGGGCAACAAAACATATAAGCAAATGACTAAATAAGCAGGTACCACTGGGGCCTGATCTATGTSTCTGAGGGTTAAACTACTTCTCTCATTGCAGTGGCCTTTCATCAAGTACATTGACTTCAACTAGGTTACTCCTGTACTTGAATATTTTGCAACTTTGAGACTCAGTGTAACAGGGATAGTTGTTCATCCTGAGTAAAGCTATTCTGCTATCCTACTTCTGTCACTTATGTTGTATCTTTTGATGTTTCTTCTGATGCAGGGACGACATGCAGTTGAAGGCACCTCACAGTAAAATAAATGGACAGCCAAAAGGAATAACCAGGTTGGGATCAACATCAAGTTCCCAGGGGACACCCGTCAGCCCTGCTAGACACGCAAACGTTAAGAAGGTGTCTGGTGTTGGTGGAACAACCTATGAGATTTCAGTGTAAAATAAAATTCAAATAAAAATAAAGAGCCATCCACTCAGCCAGCCATGAAGCTAGGAGCACTGTGAAGACTCAGATAACAACAAAGAAGGAGCAGCAGCAGCCGGCCACTCTCCTTTCCTTATTCTGGGTTTGTTATGTTTCCATCCTTCTCTTTTGGCCAAAACCCAGCTGCAGCCTTACTCTTGCAGGAAGGAAGTTGTACAGTCCATCAGACTCTTCCCGAGCGGATAGGCGGGACCTGGTGACCACCGGCCACCACGGCCACCGAGCAGATTTCTGGTGCAAGGGAGCGATAAAGCCGCGGGGCATCCTGTCTGTGAGACCGACCTGGGGCGTGCCAGTCGTGCTGTGAAAGAGCCTGGTTAATCTGGGATCATGCTAAGTTTCCCTCTCCTCTTTACCCCCCGCTCCAATTCTGCCGGCCTGAAGGAGGTTGGAAGGTAACGTGGAGACCCAGCTCCTGTGCAGCCCATGCGGATGGGAACAGCCAGGAGCACCGTGCCGTGTTTGCAAGGAAACAGGAGCAAATCCAGCAGCGGGATCTCATTGCGCGCCCGGCCTCCTGTGCGTCCCCGCCAACAAGGACCCCGACGCCAGGAAGGCTCTTCCATTCCCACCTCTTGCTCCCTCTGGGTTTCAAAGGCTTCTCTGACTCCGAAACAAAACCAAGCAGATAACAAATGAAATGTTTGGATGGGAACATATTTGCAACAGMCGTCAAGCTGCTTTTCCCCCCCGCACCCTCCTTATTACTTATTGGATTTAGGCAATAACGTAGTTTACTGCCTTGCCCCGGTGCCATGCGTGTAATCCTGCTGCAAGGTTATCTTGATCTGTTGAATTTACAGTGTGTGTAACTGAGCCAAGCATATGTCTAGAGGATATAAATTTGCTGTCTGCCTAATGACTAGCACATTCCCTCTGGTCTTCAATACTGTTAGGCAAAGGTGATTTTYCYCCCCCCAAGGGAACAACTTTTTTWWAAAAAAAAAAAAAAGAATATAAATCAAATCTATTGCACACACTGAGGTTTCCCTTTCCTGGCTCCAGAAAGCTATATTTACTTTGTTGGATTTAAAGGCAACTATTATAAAAAACAAGAGAGAGCTACATAATCTTTACCACAGATAYATCAGAACTCTGGTAAAGTGAATTTGGGGGCAGATATGCTTTTTTGCTTTTCTCCAAGCCCCATGTCTTTTTCCTTTCCAGTTACTTACCAGCTCAGAAGCCAATAGTACTGAGATCTGGACTAACCAGCCAGATCCTGGGTGCAGTTATGAGCGACTGTTGCCAAAKTCAGTTAAAATGAATATTTATCACTGAGCCAATTAGCATATGAAACCTCTGCTTCCCACCTGGTTCTCCTAGGGCATAGCTTTTACCAGAGAGCTAAATTCATCATTTTTTCAGGATATTTGTTTCAAAGTATTGACTCCTTTTCAGTCCTTGACTCTAATGAGCATATCTCCCGACATTAGGTAGCAGTTCAGAATGTGTTGGTGATACCTTACTTGTTTTCATGAGTGTTGAGATGAATTCCACCAGAAGGCAAATATCGACCTCAGTTTTTCCTGGTTAAAATTTACCTTTTGATGCGCTAAATCTTGGCACCTGCTGGAATACCTGCTTGTTATATCCCTTGTATATGACATCAATTTGGGAAAGGAAGACTGTAGAAAATATAAGAGAGAGAATATTCTGTCTGTTTAATTCTAGATATGCTCTGAAGGGAGAAATCTGGAAAGCAGTGCAGCTTTCCAGAAATGGGCCAATAGTTATGAGGGAGTCAACTTCAAATCGATGTGTATTTGTTTTATGGCCTTGACTTTTTTTAATGCCTTCCTGTAGGCTACATTGCAGAGCAGGGAAGCAATAGTCCTTCTATGCAGATCTGTTCACTTGCAGGTGGAAAACTGTCTGTAGTTAGAGCTATGATAGGACCAGAAAGATGCTGGCAAACTCAATCAGGTACAGAGGGAGCAATACATATTAAAAGACTGGACAAGCTCATTTGGGAGAAGGTTTAAAGGGCGAAAAAGATGTCACTGGCTAGGCAGCAAAGTGAAAGATGAGTATGACAGTTTTACTGATATTTTAGTTAAAAGATGTAAAACCAAAGGGAAATCGAATGGTTGTCAYGGATTACAAATGGGCTGTATTTAGGAAGAGGGAAAAATGTTGCACATAGGAGGGGAAAGGGTAGTAGAATAGTCTTCCAAGGCAGAATATTGGAGACTATTTAGGGCAATTGAACTATATTTGGACAAATCTTTAAAAATTTTTTCAGCCAGAGGTAAGCTTGCGGGGGCGAGAGGCTAGACCAAATGGCCTTATAGTTTTCTTCCATCCTTAACTGTTACTAGTCTGCAACCCCACCCTGATGTTAACTCCTCAGGAAGGTGCAGTACTTCTCCAAGGACTGGAATTCACTCTGGTGCAYAGAGTACCACAAGACTTGCCTGTCCTTCAAGCGTCAGGTATGCCACGTGTAAGCCCTCCAAAAGAGGAGTAAGTGACATAAGGAATTTGGCCAAGGAGCTAGACAAGGGCACATTTTATTATATTTCTTTGAATGCGTACATGAAATTCATGCAAGCAAGACTGAAATTTGGCACCAATGTAATATTTGCGATTGGCATCTGAGTGATGCTCCACTTTGATTTTTCTTTCTCCTGCAGTTACAAAGGAGAAAGCTACTGATGAACTTGAAGAGCCAGAGAGCCTTTGAAGTTAGCTGCGTTAGTTCACGAGASAAGAGCTTCTCAGTAAGACTAAACACAGTACTGTGTGTATAAAGCACTAATATCCAGGGTTGTTTTGACATGGGTCACCAGGGGCAGGGGAGGAAGAAGCGAATGCACTGTGTTGTTACAGGTTCAGATGTAAGAATTATATATTTTGTGAGTAGTTTGCCCATATTTGAAACACATCCAATGTGGTAATAGGCTTACAATGGTACCAAAGTCTTTTTATTTTAGTTTTTATTTTCCTTTGAGGTTTGCATATATTTCAGTGCACATAGCCTAGGATAAATTATTCAAATCTTCTGAAAGAATAACCTGAGCAGAACTGTTAAGAGGAGGTTGCATGCAGCAAATCCAGCCTCCTTTCCAGCTCCAGGTCCCGAAGCTCCAGCTGGATTCTCGTAGATGTAAGTGTCTGTTGCCCTGCTCCCATGGCAGGCCTGGCGACTCATTCAGCGCACGAACTTTGGAGCACAAGCTGGCCCATGCTAAAGTCTATTTCTTCAAACAGGTTCTAAACTAGCAGCAAAGTTCTTTTTCTACCCAGAAAGTCTCCATGTTTACAGATACTACAGGCCAAATGTTCAGCTGGTGTAAATTGGTGCAGCTCTGTCAAAGCTGGGTTCAGTGACACTAATTTACAGTCGGGTAGGGATCAGGCATGAAAATCCATTGCAAAGTAACACATCTTGTAAARTAGCTTCTTTCTTTTTGTCATGTTTATTTCATGTTTCGGAAGTCTTAAATCTTTTCAACGTGTGTTTATTTTTAGCCGTGGATTGTATTACTTATTTAAAAACAGCAATAGTTTTTGTTTAGTTTATGCATCATTTTTCATTGCATATCGCATCTTATTAGCTGTTCATTCCCTGTTCATACACTCCCATTTACCCTCCAGRTTTTCACTGTAGTACAATCTGCTTTGAAAAGTTGGAGCTCTGTATCTTTAGTTGTATAATATATTGAGYATTATGAAATTAAATGTACTTTACTACATGGGTGGGACAGAGAGGAAATATTTTTACTTGAAGCCTTAATATTTTCTTTTTTTACTACATTGTTGACCTCATAGGAAAGTCTGAATAGCAATGACTTTGAAACTCTGGGCCAAATACTGCACTGATATACAACCAGCATTTGGCCCCTATGTCAAAACTGGATACAGACATAACCCGAAGCGAACAAGGGAAAAAGCCTCAGGGTGGCATCTTTTCCTGAAGATCGTTGAGTCAATCTCCAAGATGTATCCGTAAGCAAGTACATTAAAGAAGTCTTCAAGTCTTGAATCTTTTAAGAAAGGCGATACCAGGAACTGCCCGAATCTCTTACCTTTGCGTTTTCTTTCGGAATTAAAAAGAAATAGAACAAAGCAGATGTAATTAGTTTGGTTCAAGTCAGCTCTAAGGGCTGCACAGAGCTATGGGTTGGTAGCCTCGTGCAGTGAATGACCTGTGTTGTGTTGCTGTTCTAAAAATGCTAATAACCAAGTGTTATGTTATGTCAACTCGGCCTAAGATAATCACCTCATGGGCGTTATAATGGACATTTCTCAGATGATGCCTATTCTACTACAAGCCTAATGTGGAAATTGCAATGTGGTTTTCTTTAGACTGTATTTGTGGTCCAGGCTATATATATATTTGCGTATATATATATGTATATGTGTTTGTGTATATATACATATATATATATTCAATATATTTTTTCATGTGGGAAAGATGGGGTCAAGGTCGCTGTCTCGCAGACAGCTTGGAAAGTCAATGTCGAGCCGTTTTTATGGTCTGTATTTCACCTGTTCTGCCACCTCGAATTGTTGGAATGTATCCGTGCAGGCTTTGTGGAGCTCTGTCTGTAACCTTTTTTTGTGGCTCTCGTAATACATATATATTTTTTAAACCTTTGAGTCATTTCAGTACTTGAGAGTGTCTGGTTTCCCCGATGCTTCGGATGCAGTTGTGTGTTGAGATGGTTCCGGGTGTCCTGCTCCTTCTTACCTCCTCTGTGCAAAAGCTGCGCTGAAGCAGGAAAGGTCCAATCTGGTGCAAAACCTGCAGGTGTCAAAACACAAGACTTGGYTGTATTTTAATTCTCTTTTGCAGACTGCTTTTGGTACAGGATAAGCAGAGTCTTAGTTGCAAATTGTGATCAGTTGCTTGCATGAGCGTGTAAGTGGTCCTGGGAACCACAGTAAAAGGTTTTTTCTATGGCATTTTGTACTATAATCAGCAGCCAGGGGTGAACAGTTCTGCAGGAAATTGTGGAGCTCAATAAG